GGGGGGGGGGGGGGGGGGCCTTACAGTCTGACAGCAGGTTGACTTTCTGAACTAACGTCTTTGTGCAGCACGACCAGGACAAAATACAGTCTTGATCACATAGCAGCGGTCATCTCATTCCTTTGACAGTGCTTTATTCCATAGAGACCGACATAACACCCCTAAGGGGGTGTTTACAAGCTAAAATTCATTGCACACCACTACAGCTCCCCCGTTACTGTCTACATCCAATGCCCAACAGCACGTCCCATCTCAATAGGCAACGGACTAAATAACCCCATAAGAAAAACGAGTGCAAACTACAACAGTAGAATCTAAAATGTGTTTTAGAACAGATTTTAAAGGAGGCTGAAGCGGTTTACGAGCAGCTAAGCTAAGCTAACAGAGCTAAAAAACAAACACTCGTATGCATGTACACACACGAGGCATCAGGAGAACGTGCACAGCCCTCTTTTGCAATGAAAACGGCCACGAAGACACACGTTACACGTAAACCAACAACAACTGTCACTGCAATTTGCGTTTTGTGTAGAGAACGAGCACATTTGGGGGGAGACGGTGAGAGTGAGAGTCAGTTATCCTCGCATGGGTTAACAGAAGAATAGACAACCAACCGCAGAAAAAGGAGAAAGCACCTACTAAAACAGCCACGAAATAATAATTCCCAATAACGGCCTCCAATCGGCGCGGGTCGATTCCACTCGCTTGCGGTTTAAATTCAAACAGACGTTTTACCTTATTGGAAAAAGTGCGCGCTCCACTCGCTTCTCCCACCACTGTGATCCTCCTGTCGGCTTCAAAATGGCGCCAATTTGTCTCTATCTGCACCAGTCAGTGCAGCTCCGCTCAATACAGCTCCTTCACGTCCCTCCTCCGCTCGAGTTTATTTATTTAAGGACATGACTCTGTTTTTGTGGTTATATTAGCGGGTTGGGTTTGGAAAAAGAAATAAACTGCTATAATAGTGATGTAAATGGCTAGTGTAAGTATAAACGAGCGTTTATGTTGAGTCGCTAGCGGGTTGGAGTGTGGTGTAACAGTGACACCTATCGGCCATGAGGGGTATGACAGCGGTCTCCGCCTTCATATACAAATATATGCCAGTTACAATGGATGGATAAAGGCACTGCACCAGTGTTGCTAAAATAAATGAAATATAATATAATACATTCATTAAAAACATCTTTAGCTGCATCAGTATGTATTAAAATAATTAAAATGTATATATATATAAACCCACTATCATTCAGAATGATAAAATGACAATATTTCTATTTCAAGAACAGCAAAATGTCATCGGTTCTCTGTTAATAGCCTTTCTTTTTATGGCGAGGCACCACAGAATTCATCACAATGTCAACATTCACCATCCAGCATCTTTGCTGTTGTTTCTCGAGGGACTCCGTGCTTGTTCCTCCTGGTGATTAAATGAATAGACAGGAAATTACTAGGACAGCCAAGCTCTATTAGACTGCTATACAAAGCCAGTTGTAAATCAAACAAATAAATGAAAATAACAATGGCTCTTAGTTAGCTGGTCTTATTCATGGGAATATGAAAGTTACTTACTGATCCTAGACTATAAAACATTTTTTCCACTTACAGCTGAAATCTCTACCTCTGTACTGTAAGCCAAAACCTGATCCAAAGTCAATAGTCTTTCTCATTCAGTGATTAATAAAAGTCACTGTGTTCCTGAGAACCAAAACTATAAACAGACTTACTTTTCTAACTGGGCAGGATCATATTTCCAGCGGGTATCTGGCTCAAGAAAGTCCACTCTGTATCCGTTGTCTAAAGCCTGTGTAAAATAAAGTAAATGAATAAAAATGTGTTACTAATTATATAGTTAATTTAGCAAATAGCTGGAGAAATCCTTGTATTGCAATACAAAATCTCTGAATGCAAACATATAGAAATGTTCTAAAGCACTGCTAATAAAACTTTCAGCCAGTGTTCGTAGCCAAGTTAAAGCCTTATTTGCATTTTACAAAAATATTCCAATTCCAGGCATTACTTAGAGATGCCAACTCACCATTTGAACATAAGACTTAATTTCCCAGGCTTTAACATTAGTGTTGTCGATGATAACGGGCGAGCGGCCCTCTAACATCGCCTGCTCGGCTTAGAAATGACAAAGCCATAAAGAATTAGCATTCAGATTGGTTTTAGAAAAATAACTTCATGCTCTTTCTCAAAACATTAAATGCTCACAATTGCAAGAGTTTCTATTGTTGAAATTGTTTGAATAATTTCATAAACACAAAATCTCACAAAAACGGTTAAGAAAAAGTCATGGTCATGTTTGACCCCCAAAGCAAAAGAAAAAAAAGATATGATATTTTTTATAAAGAAAATGAAGGATATACTAGACTTCTTTAGATTGCACACACACAAACACACACACACACACACACACACACACACACATATATATATATATATAGTATATGTGTCCCATATCTACAATGATGTTACTTAGTCTATCCTCACCTCTCTTCTGGTTCCAGTCGTGCGCATCACTAAGCAGAGCAGAATCAAATTCATATCTGTTGTCTTGGAAAAAGTAGTCATCTGTGCTCAGTATTACTCTATTGGGACCAGTGGACAGGATCTCTCTGAGACATACAGTCAAATATTAGAAAATCTCTTTTTCTCTGCTTACCTAAACTAATAAAAACATGCCGTTGGGACAATTTTAGTACAACTTAACCAATCAGTGCAAGTTTTGCTTACAATATGTCTTTAGTATTTAATCAAACATTTGACCACTGGTTTGGTGCAAAAACATCAATGAGGTCATTTCTCTACATAGTTCGTTTTGCTCACTTGGCCAAAGTGGATTTTCCAGATCCTGGGACTCCCCTCAACAATATTAGCACCAAAGCAGTGTTATTATAATGCTGATGTTGGTCTTTTACGTGATAATGCTGCTGCCAGTGTGCTGAAGATGTTTGATATTCCTCAGAGAATCCAGGATGCTCATGTGATTGGAAAACCCTGTTTTGTTCATGCCACCTGTTCAAAGGTAATGGTGGTTCTTCCCATGGACCCCAGCTGTTGTTGTTGGCATGAAAACTGTGGAAGACGTTCTCCTGAGGTCTCATGTCTGGAGGATACATGATAGCACCTCCAGAGGTTGGGGGAGGGAAGAAGTGTACCCTTGGGTCTGGAGGAACCCATGGTGGAGGAGGATACCACAGCTCTGGATATCCTACCAAAATCCATATTACACTGTAAGCAAGGTCTCCATCTTTTTGGAATTTTTTGGTTGCGTTCATGTGGATCTGGGTAAGGTCTGTAGACTCTGCCGTGATCAGTTACAACAAGAATGTCTGTACTGTTTGGTTGATCGCTTTCGGGCTTGCTGGAAGGATGGCGGTCATGCTGTTCAACCGTTTTGGTGTCCGCATTGATGTCAACCTTATCAACTTCCTCAAGCTCTTTGTAAAATTCACAAAGCTCCTGCTCGATGGATGGCTCCGGGCGACACACAGGCCCAATAAATGAAGTACTAGTGATGGCCAACTCTCCAATGACACATTTTCTCTCTGTTTGGCTTGTGTTGTCAATGGAACATGTGTTAGTAACTTCACATGTGTGCCTGTCTGTACTTGTGTTGAAGGATCCAGTTCTCCACCATCTGGATTCACATCCTGTTGAGTCTTGAAATTTATATTTACATTTACATTTAGTCATTTAGCAGACGCTTTTATCCAAAGCGACTTACAAATGAGGACAATAAAAGCAGTCAAAACTAACAAAAGAGCAACAATATATAAGTGCAAATGACAAGTCTCGGTTAGCCTAATGCAGTACACGTAGCAAGGTGTGTATATATATATATATATATATATATATATATATATATACAGTATATATATATTACACACACACACACACACACACACACACACATTTACACACACACACACAAAGAAAAACAAGTAGATAAAATAGAAAACATAGAAAGCTAGTGTTTTTTTTTGTTTTGTTTTTTTATCACTTCCAACAGGTAAAAAAGCAAATTCAGTCGGATTGTTTGTCTGGTTATTTAGCCACTGGTGTTACTCTGACACCATCTGTGTGATTTAGTCGTTTGTTTTCATACCGTTCATCTACATTTCCTCTATGAGGTTGAATAATGACCAAAATAATGAGCAACAGTTAATTTTATTAAGTAGCCTACTAAACAAAAATTTTAGCCTACTAAAAAATGTTATCTGTATTTTATTTTAAGATTAAGTTTAATTACATTATATATATTCAATTATTTAAAATGATTTTAATTTTAAATAAACAAATGAATGAATGAATGAAGCATGCTTATTATTCAATGTATTGTGCATAACAAAATGCAAGTTGTGTAATTTTCTGTCGAATACAAATTTCTTTTGTTGCAAATAGGCATTTTTAATGAAATTATGCTAAATATATAATTTAAAAAGTCAAAGGGAGAGTACAAAATATTTATTTTTATATGTGGTAAACGTTTAATTTGATCTAAAGTCAAATGCAGGAGGAATCTGCAGTTGGCAAGAGTTATATGGTCAAAAATTCTAAATTAAAAAATCGCGGAAATTTAACCGATGATCTTGGAAGAAAAGCATGTTTATCAACTGGAGGTTGGAAAAGGGGAAAAATAATAAGAATGGGAAAGTCAAATGAAAAGAAGAAAGCGGTGGCGGGTGTTGTGAATGGACCAGAATGGGGAGATTCTGATATAGTGGATAATGAGGATAGTATGCAAACAAGTCAAGGAAGCAGAAGAATGAGGGAGAAAAGAGAAAATACTTTTGAAGGGATTAGAGCAAAGAAAACCAGGCGTAGTCGAAGTTTTGAAAGAGGAGTAGAAGAGAGTGACCATGAAAGTTTGAAATTTAAAATGATACTGAGATTCGGCGAGGAGAAGGGAATATCATCAATTAGTCCAGTGAAATTGACAACTATTTTGCGAAACCAGATTGGCGACATACATATGGCAAAGGTTTTAAGAGATGGAAATCTACTGATTGTTTGCAGAACTGAAGAGCAGAGGGAGAGGGCTGGCAGAATTAAGGAAATAGGACAATTTCAAGTAATAAATACAAGTCGTGTGGAAAGGGAAAATAAGTGGAGTAAAGGAGTGATTTGGGGAGTTCCGGCAGGAGTCTCAATGGAGGAAATTAAATCAAACCTAAAAGGAGGAATTCTGAAAGGTGCTCGGCAGATACAAATAACTCGAGAGGGAGTGAGGAAAGACAGTGAGTATGTTGTACTTGATTTTGAAGAGGAATTGCTACCCAAAAAAGTGACGTTAGGATTTTTGAGCTATAACGTTAGAGAATATATTCCAAAGCCAATGAGGTGCTACAACTGCCAAAGATTTGGACATACAGCCAAGGTATGTAAAGGCAGAAGGAGATGTGCCAGGTGTGGAGAAGATCATGAATATGGGCAATGTAATCATGAACAGCCAAAATGTTGCAACTGTGGGGGGAATCACAGTGTGGCTTATGGGGG